GAAGCCGGCATTTTTTTAGCGTGTATCTAGTGGATTGGTAACAATAATATGATATGATACCACTACAAGACAAACCTCTTGGAGGTATTAATTACATCCCTATTGCTACCTCACCACAATCTGAATCCATTTCTTTTTTCACTTAGAAAAGTTACTACTCTCTAGAATACGTCCCCTTTCTTGCTCTAAAGCAATACCCTGGTTGGGAACAGACTGAACAATTCACATTAGGAGCCTGCCAACCTGTAAAGAACACAGACTGTGAAATTTGATTCTAAAAATAAATATCAATATGGTCTAAAGACATGTTACCTAATGACAAGGATCTTTGCTTCAATTCAGAAGAGTGACAATTTTCTCATAAAGAATATGGAGATAGTAAAACACCAGGGCATTCAGTCAAAGCACACAGAATTATTTGATTTCCAACCACTGATTTTTTTTTTTTTTTTTTTTTTTTTCTTTTTTTTTTTTTTTTATTAATGTTATGATAGATTACAACCTTGTGAGATTTCAGTTGTACATTTTTGTTAGTCATGTTGTGGGTACACCACTTCCCCCTCCGTACCCTCCCCCCCCCCCCCCTTTTCCCTGGTAACCACCAATCAGATCTCCTTCTCAATATACTAATTTCCACCTATGAGTGGAGTCATATAGAGTTCGTCTTTCTCTGACTGACTTATTTCGCTTAACATAATACCCTCGAGGTCCATCCACATTGTTGTGAATGGGCCAATTTCGTCTTTTTTTATGGCTGAGTAGTATTCCATTGTGTATATATACCACATCTTCTTTATCCAATCATTAGTTTCTGGGCATGTAGGCTGGTTCCACGTCTTCCAACCACTGATTTTTGTTACTAGAATCCTTTCGTACTCACCTTCATCCATGCCAAAACTATCTACTGAATATCTTGAATATAAAGAAAATGTCAATGTTTTCCTCCAAAATTATTCTTCTGAAAAGAGGGTTTTGCCTTATATTGTGGTCTTTAGAAAGACTCCCCTTTTGCAGGATATGCACAACATAAAAAACTACATAATAAAAAAATAAACAACTACAGAAAGAATTTTCGAAAACACCACTCAAAGGCATATATGGGTTCTTGGAGCTTGAGACAACTTTTCCTGAGACATCAGCAATCATATATTCAAAAAGAGCTTATCTAAACACTTAGATGGAGGTAAAAATAACTTGCTCTGGAAAACTGGTAGCCAACCCTAAATGTGCTTGACATTTGTGATGACAAAATTACTAATCTCAAAGGCACATGTGAAATGTGTGAATTAAGTATTTTCATAAACTATAAGTTTTAAAAAGAAAATCTTGAGATCAATATGAGACTATAAACATTTTGTGATGAAATTAATGAATATTAGAAGTAATCATTTGAGTATTTCATCTACAACCCTGAGAATTTATATATTCATATTGGCCAAAAAACCATTTTTGGATCGTTTCACAGGCCATTTCCTTAAGACAGAGAACAGGGATTTACAGAGTAGTGATTTCCATTGGTTCATTTTTTGAGGGAGGGTGAAGAAAACTCCTTTTGTTTTTTAACTAAGTTTATATTTTCCATCATTTTCGTAATATAAAGTGCTTAAAATTAAAATCCTCTTTTCCAAAGTTTGAGTTTCCTCAAACTCAGTTTTAGAAGCTCAAAAAGTTACACAAATAAAGTGTAATTGTCTCTATGTGGAAGGTAAAGAGTAGACCACATTCTAACGGTATGAGATTAAAAAACCATGCATGGGACCAGCCCGGTAGTGTGGTGGTGAAGTTTGTGTGCTCTGCTTCAGCAGCCCAGGGTTCACAGGTTTGGATCCTGGGCACGGACCTAGTACCTCTCATCAAGCCATGCTGTGGTGGCATCCACATACAAAATAGAGGAAGACTGGCACAGATGTTAGCTCTGCGACAATCTTCCTCAAGCAAAAAGAGGAAGATTGGCAACTGATGTTAGCTCAGGGCCAATCTTCCTCCCAAAAAACCTATGTAATACTGTGTCAATAGACAGAATCATGCTATATAATAGTCGTCATATTCATCAATTTACTTGGTAAACAGCATCTGTCATATAAGTGTCTATATTGTTCGTCAGTACAAGGGGGTAATTTGGCAATGAGTGGAGAGTCAACCTGCAATCAGACACTGGGATGTCTGGATTACTCTCCTCATGGTCAGGCATCATTCAGGACCAAGCAGACATGCTCTATTCAAGTTAGTGAAGCACCAAGAGAATTTTGTATAAGACTACGTCAACTGCAAGGTGGTTCCATGGCCAAGACTTTGGTAACTTACAGAGAAGTGCCAGCCAGGTCCACCCTCATGCTCAGATTTAGGAATCACATGGTCTATACTTTGAAGAATGAACACATTCAGCACAGAGCACCGCGAGCGAGCAAAGGCAAGAAGGCAAATCTGCCCATCAAGGTGCTGGAGAAAAGCTTCATCCACAAATTAATTCAAAACCAAAGAAGTTGTAACACTAATAATCCACAAATATCCTTGAAAGCCAATGGACTAGTTCATTATCTAATCATAGTAAAATTACTTGAAAACATAATTTTGTAAAAAATGTTACGTGAAGAAGTTGTTCGCCTGCGTCTTTTTTCCTTCTAGTACTCTATTGGAAAGACTGCAATTACTGCATCCATGCTTCTACTTAGGAAAACATTTTGCTTTGCCATGAAATCATGGCAAAGCAGGAAATAAACAAAAATAAAAATAACAATGTTTCATACCTGAGAAGTCGGCTGCTAAGAGATCGACTGCCTTCAAAACTTTCACTTGTAAAATGCCTATGTCCTTCATATCTTTCAGGGAGTTCTGTAAGCACTAGGGGGAAGAAAGGTAGATCACAAATGAAAACAGCTTTCTAACATACTATTTACTGCCGTCAAGTCCTACAGGAAATCCATTCTAGATTTATCCTCACTTTTCTCATGCAATGCTTCGAAAAGTTCCAAAGTGCATTATCTCAGTCAACTGGCCAGTTACGCATTTACAGCAACCAGATTAAAAGTGACTGAGAATTAATTAACTACGGCTTTGAAACAGACAAATTACAAAGCACGTGCAATCTACTTTGAACATCGCCCCCTGGTGATAGCACAGATATCCCGCCGGGAAAATGTGTGTGGAACTACATTCATTTTCTCTTTCCCCTTCTTTCTCTTTAATGAGACTTTTAAATCACCCGAAAAGGCAACATTATTCTGACCTACTTAGTGCAAACTTTATGGATACCAGAGGACTAAACTTGCACCCTTCATAGATACTTATTACCCCTGGAAAGAGAGGAGGGGTGGAAACGGAGAGAATTTTCTGGTCCATGTTTTAGCCAGCTCATTAGATCAGAGATTGAGCATCTAGTGTCACCTTATATTCACATTTACTTTAATTTTTAGTTCGCATGAGCCAAAGCTTGAATATATCTACTGATAATTCTTATGCATGTACAGCAATATGTAGACGTCTATATATACTGCATCCTTCAGAAATTGTGCATGAAAGAGAGAAGCAGATAAACTCGCTTCACATGCCTCCAGAACACTTCTGCTGAAAACGATGTTGCTTTCAAGTCTTCGGATCTGGTATTTCGGCTATCACCAGATAAGTGAAAACTTGCGATAAGCCAACCCCAGAGATTTATGGAAGGATAGTAAAATCCTTGTTATTTAGGCATTTCAGGAGAGAAAAACAAAAACTTAATAATAGGTAAGGTTTGCCTAACCTAATGTGTACCACTGCTAAGAACTTTTGAAAATTGTTTCTGCTCTATATTTTCAACCTAAAAAAAAATCCTAGTGTTTAAGCTAAGATGAAAACACTTGAAATATAATACTTTTACAATGTAGAGGTGGAAATGCCTTTGAAGATTATCTATTCTTACAACCTAAAAAACAAATCCAGGGGCTGGAACTTGTGTCTTGTAACAAAGCCTTCCTTCCCTCTAACATGCTAGCCAGCTCGCTAGCTGGAAAAAACACTTGATATTTGTTTTGTTAGCCTCTTCAAACCTCTTTTCAATTATTACTCCTCAAATCCTGAGGCATTATTCAAAGCAGTCATTATGATCTTATCTAACATCACCTTTTAAATACATGACATTCCTCATGAATTTGGTTAATTTTGCAACTTATCCATGGGAAAGTTTGGGGAAAAGTTTTATTTTTCCCCGTCACATTTTCGTTTGCTTCAAGTCATCAGAGAGGCTATGAATGGTGGAATTGGTTGCAATTTCTTTAGAAAATGCCAACCTCGCATGCAGAATCTGTGTTTGGCAATAAATGTGTGGCTAGGATTCCTATTCCTGAAGATAAAGAATTATTCAATTAATCAATACACTTGCACAGAGAAGGATTTGGGGCACTAAAGTTAATGCTGAGAATAATATTCTCATTAAATAGGGATTCATCTTTGCCTCATTTTCATGCCACTTTCCTAAAACATGCCTTTGGTGTGTGGAAATAAAATAAACATTGATTTACAAAGAAGACAGGATAAAAACAGAATTCAAATAAAGACACCTATAAAGCCAAAGTACAAAAAATAAATGAAGACGACAAAGCCACTTGATTTAAAAATGCTGAGTGGACTTTTATGCACAAGGTGACTGCTTAGGCAAAAATCACAAACTAGTGTTATTATCCAGGGTGGTACAAAGCAACAGACTTCCGTGTCTGCCTAGAGTTCGGCTTTGCTTTATAAGACACAAGCATTTTCTCACTTGATCCTAAGAGGTTCTGGAAAAGTATAAGATTGCAAACATTAGTGGTTGGTTAAAAAATAAAAAAACACTACTTTTGTGACCATATATTAAAATTCCTATTTATATATGCAGACACGCTAAACAATAGCTTGCCTCCTTGAGGATTTCGATTTTCTCTAAAGAGTTCCTAAAAGCTAAAAATTCAAAATACGTTTTTTGGCTTTGAATAGAGCAAGGCAAATTCTAATCTACTTTCACCTTCTCACCAATGCATTGACCTCTAGGTCTGATGTCTTGTTTTATGAGACATACCATTAAACTTTGGACAAAGATCTCTTTTTACGCAGTTTTTCAGTCATAGACTTTGTTCCAACTTAAAAGTGGGGGCGGGGGGAGGTGGGAATGGCGAAACAGGGGAAGCACTCACATAGCGCTGGTCAATCTGCTTTCTTTCGCTGGGGTCTGCCAAGGGGCACACACACAGATCGGAGACGGAGACCCCCGTGCAGGGAGTAAGTGTGATCAACATCAGCAGAGCCCCCAGGCAGCTATCCAGCGGCAGCTCCAAGCAGTTGGCTTGCTTGAGCGGGAGTGCCGCGATATCCACTTTACACCTAGAAAAGTTGCAGGAATCGAGAAAGAAAAGCGATGAACTCATGGCCACTTCGAAAGCAGCTGATATTCACTGCATCATCCCCGAACCCTCCCTCTGTCCGGACCCGGGTTTACTGAGCAGTGAAGGTTGCAGGGCGCCCCCCACGCCCCCAGCTCCTAACACTCACTCCCAGCCTAATGCACTCTAAAATGAAGGAGAGGAAGAGGTAAAGAAAATCAAAGAGAAAGAAGCAGGGAGGGAATCACAAATGAAAATAGAAGAGCCAGATCTTTGCCAAATAAGGTCTGCAGGAAGGCAATGAGATCAAGAAATAGGGAGAAAAAAGTTTCAAAGATTAGGTATTAAGGATGAGGGCTTTTATATGGCTTCTCTGCACTGTGTCTTTTACCAGCAAAGAGAATAAATGGGTGTGGTTCAAAGAAAAGGAGAAAAGACAAGAGAAATGCAGGGAGAGAGTTAACGGAGAAACCAATTTCTTCCAGATTAATGCCAACTGGTGAGTTTTTATTTAAAGAAACAAACGTGTTAAGGTGTTTTCCTAATAGGCACAGTGCCACAGGGGTTTCCCCAGGTGGATTTCTTTCGGACAAATGGGGCATGAAGTGCTGGTGATTGATCCCATTTCAGCAGCACTGCCAGGAAAGGCTGTACCTGTCTGCTAGAAATTGCATATGTTCCGCCTCTTAACAGCCAATGTTCTGGAGATGTTGAAAACCTCAAACATATTTAAATACAGAAGCAAACACCAAAAAGGGGGGCTGAGGTGCTAAGCCATTTATGTGCTTTAACACTGAAAACTCTGAGTTTGCCTGGACCACACCTGCTCCGCTTATGCGCAGGGGAGTGAAGGAGGCAGGGTCCAGGAGAGGGAGGGAGGGTAGGCAGTGGTAGTTCCCACATGTAGAGTGTGTGTGTGTGCATGTATGTGTGTGTCTGTGTAATTCTCATTGGCCCTCCATAGTTACTGAATAAGATGAACATTCAAGACTTTATAAAAGATGGAAACAGTGACTCTCAGAATGTATGACAAGGCTGGATTCTTTTTTTTTTTTGAGGAAGATTAGCCCTGAGCTAACATCTGCTGCCAATCCTCCTCTTTTTTGCTGAGGAAGACTGGCCCTGAGCTAACATCCATGCCCATCTTCCTCTACTTTATATGTGGGACGCCTACCACAGCACGGCTTGCCAAGTGGTGCCATGTCCATACCTGGGATCCAAACTGGCGAACCCCAGGCCTCCGAAGCAGAACATGCGCACTTAACCACTGCCCCACTGGGCCGGCACAAAGGCTGCATTCTTACACTAAATCTTCAATGGACTTTGTATGTTTGCAGAGAATTAGAAATAGGTAAACTTAGCTAAAATATAAAGGAATGACAATTTTGAGACACATGGATATGTAAAAAGTTCCAGTTTAATAAATTTTAAAGAAAGCTTGCAATCCCTTCCGAATTAAAAAGAAAAATACAGGGGCAGGCCCAGGGGAAGAGGTGTTAAGTTCTTGGGCTCCACTTCAGTGGCCTAGGGTTCACAGGTTCAGATCCTGGGTGCAGACCTACACTGCTCATCAAGCCATGCTGTGGTGGCATCCCACATACAAAGCAGAGGAAGACTGGCATGGATATTAGCTCACAGACCATCTTCCTCAAGCAAAAAGAGGAAGATTGGCAACAGACGTCAGCTCAGGGCCAATCTTCCTCACACATACACACACAAATCAATAATACTGATAAAAATCTATGCCAGTTTTTGCTACAGAATTAAAAAAAATTAATACTGATATGTACCTATAAAATTAAATATATGTGGGTGTTTATTTCCTAATTACCAAAAGTGATTCCAGCTATGAGAAAAAGTGGCAATTAAAGCTTTCACATCAAGTATTTCTACTGGAGACACATTACAAAAAATATATCTTTCTCAATAATCCTCTATGATTTGAATCAAAACCATTTTTTTCTGCAGCAATAGGAACATTTTAAAGTGAAAATTTACTACTGTGAAAAGAGGGGTTACTAAATATTTTTATTTCATAGGCAAGTATGTAAGCGGGGAATTAATTCTGCCTGGAAGAAAAGAAACATCAAATGCTTTAACTACCATCATTTCTACAAAACTAAGTACCCAAGAATCCTTCACCAGTATGGCAGTTTTCATCTGCTTAGGAATACTTTCCCAAGCATTAGTCTAGCTGGCTGCATACACTTTCCTATAATAGAGCTCTTTTTAATGAAAAGATGAATGATTCCAATGTGTAAGAATCTTCTCCAGTAGTCATGTTCATTAGTCCAAATTAGCAAAAACCTATTTAGGGCACATTTATTTTAATATCACTAATAATGGCAATTTATTTTTGTCCTTTAAAATTTTACCTGTTTGTTGTGGCAGTGGTGGTTTTGTTTGTTTGTTGAACAACCAAAAGTTATTTAAAGACAAGAGCTCTGAGAACAAATAATGTTTGGGAGTCAAAATGATGCAGAATTAGGGGCCGGCCCGGTGGCACAGCAGTTAAGTGCACATGTTCCACTTTGGCAGCGCAGGGTTCAACGGTTGGGATCCCGGGTGCGGACATGGCACCTGGCACTGCTTGGCACGCCATGCTGTGGCAGGCATCCCACATATAAAGCAGAGGAAGATAGGCACAGATGTTAGCTCAGGGCCAGTCTTCCTCAGCAAAAAGAGGAGGATTGGCAGCAGTTAGCTCAGGGCTAATCTTCCTCAAAAAACAAAAAGATGCAGAATTAGGCAACAATAAAATTTTTCTGGGATAGTTCAAAATAGACCTGACATTCATCCTAAAAAGTCATCTAAAAAGACTATCAGCAATATGAGCATATTTACCATAACCTTGCAGACTCTCCTGGAGACTGTTTAAAGGCACAACTTACTTGAACACAGCGGTTTATTATTTTAGACAAAAGTTGAATCACGTACCAGGTGAGACACAAAGTAAATATTGGGTTTCTTCTCAGAAAACAATGCATTTCCACAAACTTTTCAGTCATTCCCACCCACTGTGAAATTTTTTAAGATTTTTTTGGATAATGAAGAAAGAACATCTGCATGAAATAGCCCTATGTATGCTAGATGAAAAAGCCCCACAAACCACAGATTGCGGATTTCAGCACAAACTAATGGACTGACTTTACATTCTCAGTTAACTAATGAGGGTGAATTCAGCCAAATACTTACTTTTACTGTCTTAGTAACTTGAAGAAACAAATTAAAGTGATACAGCAGTATCATATCGTTCAAAATTAAAACTTGATGCTTTTGCACATGGGTTATGACCCAGCCTCTTAGGTTACCTGCTTAGCATGTGAATTGATGTTTTAAGTCTTAATAATTAATTTAAAGGTACTCTCTCCCTCATGCTAACAAGAAACTCCCCTCGAAAGATAACTTTCTAGAAACTTTCTACAACGGAACTGCTCTCTGCATCTCTTCTTCCTCATTTATCCCCACATTCTGAAGGAAAAGAAGAAAGACGGGAGTAAGAAGAAATGAATTTCATCCAGAACTCTCTCCTCTGGGCCTCCCATTTTACTCTATTTCAACCCCTATCCACATTGCTCCAGCTCATCCTCACGTCTAAAGGAGAACCAGAAGTTCTGGAGGTCAGCCAGAGGCTGGAAAAATTATTTGTATTAACCCCAAACTAGGAAGTGGTTACCACATTATCAGCAAAAGATGTAAAATAAATTGTTTTTTTAAAAAAGGACTTTTTCAGAATTTCAGATACTTTTTTTTTTTAAGATTTTACTTTTTTCCTTTTTTTCCCCAAAGCCCCCCAGTGCATAGTTGTATATTGTTCGTTGTGGGTCCTTCTAGTTGTGGCATGTGGGACGCTGCCTCAGCGTGGTTTGATGAGCAGTGCCATGTCCGCGCCCAGGATTTGAAGCGACGAAACACTGGGCCGCCTGCAGCGGAGCGCGCGAACTTAACCACTCGGCCACAGGGCCAGCCCCCCAGAATTTCAGATACTTTTATCACAATACTCATAGAACCTTCTGAGGGGAGGTAAGTATCATGTGAACAAAATGGCTTTTTTTACATTCAAGGAAAGCTAAGTATTCTAAAACCTAAACTCTCTAAGACAAACATTCTCAAATACATTCATCAAAGAGATTTTTAACATAAAAATCTTGAAAGGAGAATCTTGACCCCTTTTTCCATTTCCTGTAGTGTACCACATTCTACCCAGAGAAAATACTGGAGAATTTGGTTGGTCTCTTAATTCCTTCTAGTCGCTACCGAAGCTTTACAGAATCTGTTGTCTTTCCTAAGATTTTCTTTTGTCTGTTTAGTTACCTGCTAAGGGTGGAGTGCGGGGCCAGCCCTGAGAAGGCCTAGAAGAGACCCGGCCAGCTTTCTGGGCAAAGCAAAACATGAGCTCTTCCTCCCTTCTTTCTCATTCCTATAAATGCTGCTCACTCACTGTCCCATTGCAGAATGTTACGGGGGTTGTTATATATTCTTTTTTCCATCCATTTTGTATCCCCTAAATTTCTTCCCAAACTACACAAATGGAAACCTTTTATGAGCATTTATATAAACTTAGCTTACTAGTGTGGCTGCAAATTTTCCATGAAAAACAGAATCAGTTTTCAGATACGTGGTTTAAAAGGCTCTCGGAATGAAATTTTCAATTATCATTAAAAATCACACCAACATGAATAAATAATAGGCACTTAGACCATTTTTTCTATGAAGGGCCAAAAAGTAAATATTTTTAGTTTATGGGCCATATGATCTCCGTTGCAAATCCTCGATTCTCCCCTTGGAGCATGAAAGCAGTAATAGGCTATGTAAACAGATGAACAAGCCTGTCTTTCAATAAAACTTTATTCAAAAACAGGTAGCCATCTGGATTTGGCCCATGGGCCCTAGTTTGCGGACCCCTAACCTAAAGAAATGCCAATAATTTAGCTGTGGTGAATTATACCAATGGAAGTATTTAAAAAATTTACAAGGTTTGGGGCCAGCCCCAGTGGCCTA